GCACAGAGCTCATCACAGACAGGCTGTGACGTATCAGAACAGCTCCAAGACTCAGCACCCAGGGGTAGCCAGGGAAGCCAGGGCAACATATTTCAGCCACCGGAAATACCAGAGCCACAGCCAAACACATTATCCCTCTCTCCAGCATCTCCACTTCTAAGCTTCTCACAGAAAATGGAGGAACTGGTTTATGCTGGGACCAAACTCTCCCACTCTTTCGCTGCAAGCCCCCAGATATCAACTAAAAAACGGCGGGCCCCACAACCACCAAAGCCTGTGGGCCCAGCTCGTCCGCCTCCTCCTGTGAGAGCTCTCCGCAACGCGAGGGCCCAAACCCTCCATCTGCTGTAGGTGAACCAAAAACAACTGAAAACAGCTCTCGGTGATAAAGTGTCGGGTTCCCGCTATAATAGCAGAAACATTCACAAATGTTTACAGAACAAGCGGGAACCCAGTGTTTTCTCTATTTCTGTTTTAGCACATGATAGAAAGTCTAAGGCCTTCTCAAGCCGTACGGCTGACTCGTCTAATGCCTGTTATGCATCAAACTAATATTGCTGTTGAGACAAAATGCAATGCCATCAAGTTAGCATTTTTAAACATTCGCTCACTAAAAAATAAATAATTTCTAATCGACTTAACCACAAATAACCTGGATTTTATTTTCTAAATGAAACCTGGCTAGAAAATAGCTGCAGTGAATCCTCAATGAATGATCCTCAATGAAACAGCCCCTCCTAACTTTACCTTCATGAGTGTCTGCAAGACTATTAGGAGAGGTGGAGGTGTAGCTGCTCTATTTAAAGATGTCTATCAATGCAAGCAAGTGTCATTTGGTCAGTACTTGTCTTTTGAATATTTAGGGATTGTGTTGAAACGCATGTCCACACATTCTGTTTATCATTATTTACAGGCCTCCAAAATACTTTCCAGCCTTTGTTGGAGTTCACAGAAATGCTATCAATGATTTCCTCAAAGTTTGACTGTTTTGCTATTGCAGGGGATTTTAATATTCACATAATGCAGAAAACAAAAACTACAAATGAAATTATAACGGTTTTAAACACTTTTGACCTGATTCAGCATGTGCATGGACCTACACATGATCGTGGACATACTCTAGATTTAATCATCAGTAGAGGTCTAAACATTTCATCCACTGTTATTAAGGACGTAGCACTTTCTGATCACCTGTATTTTCTTTGATATATCAATCTCTGTTACCACTGAATCTAGTTCTGTCTCTGTCAGAAAGAGATGCATTAACGAAACACTAGTGTGCTATTTATGGAGGCTATATCTTTAACTACAAGCAGTTCTGCAGACTCTGTTGATCTTCTCCTTGATTCCTTTAACTCAAAAGTTAAAAATGTTATTGATGTCATTGCTCCTGTGAAAGTCAGGAAGACCGGCAGACAGAAATCAGCTTAGAGAAAATCAACAGCAATTCAGAGTATGAAAAGACAGCTGAGCGGATGTGGCGGAAGACGAAACTTGAAATTCACTATAGCATAAAACAAAAGACAGCCTACGTGCCTTCAATGTGGAACTAGGCAAAGCTAGACAGTCATTCTTCTCAAACCTTATAAACAGTAACTTAACACGCACTCTTTTTGCTACTGTTGAGAGACTGACGAACCCCCCAAGTCAGAGTACCAGTGAAATGCTCTCCGACAGCAAATGCAATGAGTTGCTTCCTTCTTTTCTGAGATCAATAATATCAGGAAGGCAATTAGCACATCCCCAAGTTATGCAGAGGTCAGACAGAGTCGACCGCAATATCAAAAAGAAGATACTATGTCTGCTTTTGAAGAGATTGATAGCAAAATTTTGGAAGAAATAGTACAGCACCTTAAATCGTCAACCTGCTATCTTGACACACTGCCAAAATATTTTTTCAAACGGTTGCTTAACTGTTTAGAAGCAGACCTGTTAGAAGTGGCTCACTTCTTTCTGGGACTTTTCCAAACTCCCTGAAAACTGCAGTTGTTAAACCCCTTCGGTAAAAAGCTCTCAGTGCTGCATTTGACACTGTCGACCATAACACTAGAGAGACTGGAAAACTGGGTCGGGCTTTCTGGGATGGTAATCAAATGGTTCAGGTCATACTTAGACTTGTGCTCTCTTATACATATCTGTGAGTACATAATAACCTCTCCCTTCTAAGTGGATGTCCATGACAGGCTCAATTCTTGCACCGCTCTTGTTTAGCCTGTATATGCTCCCACTGTCAAATAATGAGAAATAACCAAATTGCCTATCACAGCTATGCTGATGATACCCAGATTTACCTAGCCTTATCGCCAAATGACTACAGCCTCATTGACTCCCTCTGCCAATGCATTGATGAAATTAACAGTTGGATGTTGGATGTGCCAGACCTTTCTTCAGTTAAACAAGGGAAAAACTGAAGTCATTGCATTTGGAAACAAAGACGAAGTTCTCAAGCTGAATGCATATATAAACCTAACAGACCACTCAGATCATTAGGATCGAGTCAGTTAGAAATACCAAGGGTTCACACAAAACAAGGGGAGTCCGCTTTTAGTTATTATGCAGTTGGAATCAGCTTCCAGAAGAGATCAGATGTGCTAAAACATTAGTCACATTTAAATTCAGATTTAAAACATCTATTTAGCTGTGCATTTATTGAATTAGCACTGGGCAACATCCGAACCGATTGCACTATATTTTATGTATAATCATTTTCTATTCTTAACTGTTTTAAATTCATTTTAAACCTCTTAAATCAATTTTTAAATCAAAGTTTTTAAATTCCTTGTTTTATTTTTTATTATTATTTCTTAAGCACTTTGAATTACCATTGTGTATGAAATGTGCTATATAAATAATCATAAATTAATAACATTTTTAAAACAATGAAATGAGCCTTTATACTTTTCTCCTTATAAAAATCGTTTTTAATAATTTTCAAAGTTGTTTTTTTGTCGTTTTATTATTATTATTATTTTATTTTATGTAAAGCACATTGAATTACCATTGTGTATGAAATGTGCTATATAAATAAACCTGCCTTGCCTAACATTTTAAAGACATTACATTGTTTAGCAAACAGATGGCATTGACTAGATTGTATGCTTAAATGATCTCTCAGAAGTTATATTTCTCAGTTATTCTACAAGTGTATTACACTGCATGTTAAACATTACTGCTAGGAATTTGTATCTCACTTGGCCATCCTACTACCATCCTGGCACATCCCTAATTGTAACATGTTTGATTCAACTTCAACTTCAACTTTATTGTCACTCTTCCACATACACAGTACACAGAAGAACAAAATGTCGTTTCTGACGGACCAAGGCACAAAGACACTGACAAAACAAGTATATACATGTTCATGACAACAGGGATCAGACATAAGAGCACATTAATATAACGAGCAATAAACATGACGAGCACAATAAATATAACAAGGCAGAAGTGTTAAATGAGGTAGAAATGTGAAAATTGTAGGAATGTAAGAAATTTTAGAGTTTTAAAGGATAAAGTGCTTGCGCACAAATTAGGTGGCTCATAGCAGATATTATGTTAAATATGTACATTTGCACGGAGTGTCTTTAGTGCACATTGGGTGCGTTGATGTACGTAAACTGACCATTGTGCAGTTATGCAAGTGTCTATAGTGCACAGCTAAGTGAAAGTGCAGAGTGCAGATGTATGCAAATGTCCATTGGAGTGTTTTTTATTTTATTTTTTCCCTGTAGACATGGGGTAGGAAGGCAGTTTATGATGGGAGTAGGATGCTGGGTGGTGCGCACAAATTAGGTGGCTCATAGCAGATATTATGTTAAATATGTACATTTGCACGGAGTGTCTTTAGTGCACATTGGGTGCGTTGATGTACGTAAACTGACCATTGTGCAGTTATGCAAGTGTCTATAGTGCACAGCTAAGTGAAAGTGCAGAGTGCAGATGTATGCAAATGTCCATTGGAGTGTTTTTTATTTTATTTTTTCCCTGTAGACATGGGGTAGGAAGGCAGTTTATGATGGGAGTAGGATGCTGGGTGGTATCAGCTTATTCAGGATTCTGATAGCCTGGGGGGAAAAGCTGTTGTAGCCTTGCCGTGCGGGTCCTGATGCTACGTAGTCTTCTGCCTGATGGCAGAGGGTCAAACAGATGCTGGGAGGGGTGAGATGAATCTTTCACAATGGCAGAGGCTCTGCGTACACAGCGTGCCTGATAGATGTCCTGGATCGAGGGGAGGGAGACCCCTATGATCCTCTCAGCTGTCCTCACTATGTGCTGGAGGGTCTTGCGTTCTGCAGTTTCCGAACCACAGTGATGCAGCACCACAATTTGAAATTTGAATTGCTATTGAAATCACTGATCACTTGAAGTTATATTACTTAGGCTACCTTTATTTTGATAGGACAGTATAGACAAAAAGCAATGGGAGGGACAAACTTGGGTCACCCGAGGTGCAGATGTGAACACTGAAAGATAGTTCTGTTGTTTAGGTAATTAGACTGAATGTGAAGTGATTATATGTAAGGAAATATGTACACCCTTAATGAAAGCACATTGCAGGTTTTGCATAAACCTCTAAAAATATATCACTTAAAAAAAACCTGAAAGCTGTGTTAATTTGTATTCTGACATATATGCACTAAATATATGTGCATATATAATCAAATAAAGACACTTCCAAATAAATTGCTTTGTACATATATTTTATGGGTGATTTTTGCATACTATGCAAACACGTTAATACTAGCGGACTTCACATTTTGAATTATGTACATTTTAACCAGTAACATTCAATGATATAGGAGTACACATAGCTTCTAATTCGCAAGATACCATGCAAAAAAATCGAATACTGTTGACAAATCTGCAACAGAAGCTGTAGGGTATTGTGATCATCATGACGACATGTAGAGCATAATACATTTCTGGGATGGTGATAATTTAATTGCTCATATAAAGAGGCACTTGAAATACTTCCCCCAAAAAAGAATGGCATGGGTTTTAAAAAAAAGTTGTTCTAAAAACAGAACTGTACACACACAACATCATGTAAACCTTACGTGAAGCACAAGATACCTCCTTGCTATTCTGATGTACTTCTCATAAAAAGGAAAAAAAACATGATAAATCCATAAATCCATGATAAAAACAAATGCTACATTTTGCACATTTGTTTTCTTATGTGTGTAAAAAATGAAGGTCCTTGTCATTTGATGAGGTAGAGCACTAATTTATTTCTATGAATACATTTTTAAAAGATTACAATTTAATGGACTGCTTTAAGAGGAAGTAATTGAATGAACTGTCTAGCATGTGTCTTTGCGATGAATGCAAGAAAACAAATCTCATATATATCTTAAAGAAACTGAATTTCAAAGCAAATTCTGCAGTTTAACGGCACGTGGGTTTGGTTTAGTGGCTTAATTTAACAACTATTCAAAAGGCTTTAAAGCACCTGTATGTAGTTTTGTGTATTTCTGCAGCTTTGTGAGTGGAATTCACTGAATATCACTAAATATATACAGTGGGTAGCTGTATATGTGCACTTGTTGTTGCCTTAAAGCAATCAGCCTTTTAAGAATAGTGTACCTGCTCACCATAATTGCATAGCCTACTCCAAAACAGATGTTTAAGGGGAATGTGTGAAAGAAACAAAAGACGATCGCTTTGTTAGTCAGTGTAGCATTAGAATGATTCCAAGACTTCTAGGTAAAAATTTTTTTTTACATAGCTACTTTTAAGCATCCTATTTATTGTGGAGCAATTACTTTGGTTAATTGCGTCAGTTGCCTCTTTAATATCAAAAAAGGTAAAATTCTGATGGCTAATTCAGCACATAATCATATATTATATCTCACATGCACAAACCAAAAATACAGTATTAAAAAAATTATTGTACAAAATGATTGGTGAAAATGTCCTTGCAATTGATATGCTAATACTAAAAGTACGATTCAAACTTAAGATACATACAAAAGTAGCTTGTCAACATATTCAATTTTCCCCCAGGCATGCAAGACGGAGCCTCATGCACACTCATAAGAAACTTGGTCGGTCACTACCCAAATAATATTTTAAGGGCAATATCCTTTTACAAGCATGATTAAAAATCTTGTTACATAACTTCAAAGATATCGAAGCATACCTTATGTCTCCTAGTAACTCTATAATAACAGAGTCACATCAACCCCCCCCCATTTTAATATGCTTCATGAAAAACATTAATGGCTCCTCATTAATGGTTACATACTTTTTTGGGTCACATTTTAGTTTGGGGACCAACTATGACTTTTGCCTAAATAAAATCCTAACTCGCTGCTTATTAATAGTTAGTAAGGTAGTTGTTAGGTTTAGATATGCGGTAGGATTAAGTAACCTAAAATATAGCAATGCAGAATAAGGCATTAATATGTGCTTTATAAGTACTAATATGCATGCATACAAAATGCTAGTAATACGCATGCTAACAAGAATTGGTCCCCAAACTAAAGCGTTACCCTTTTTTGTAATATATAAAAACAGGAAAATAAATAATTAAAAGCGGAACAGAATAATGGTATGACACGGTTAGCTTATAGATTGTGGGCACTGAAGAAGGATCAATGCATTTTGAATTTTGAATCTGAAAAGTTTAAAGTTTATGACCAAACAGTCTTTTTATAGTGCATTTCTGAAAACGTTCACAACAATTGTTTGTGTATATATACTGTATATTCAGTGCACAACAAAAAATAAGAAACACTATTTATATAGTGCATTCCTAACATTTTTTAATGGAACAACATGGAACAATAAAACATAAAAAAATATATATTTTTCATTTAGTCATGAATTTAAAATGTATTGCTTGATTTTGCAAGAGTGAATTCTCATTCAATTACTGGAATTAACTGCTTTGAATTATTCAAATGCACTATGAAATCGGAATATTTGACTTTTTCACATGCACTTAAATCTCATGATTCCATGTTGTAACAATAAAATAGGTTCCTTCAATAGGTACTGCGTTTAGTAAAAAAAAATACATACACATTTGTGTATATAATATGTATCTGTGTGTGTGCATGTACAGTATATACATCCTATTAAGCCTTTGCTGTTCAATTAGAATAGCTACATGTGCAGATAGTGTATGCACATTTATAAAAAAAAAAGGTCCATTGTCTGTTTACTGTCCTGATGAAGCTTTGTGATCAGGAAATCTTCTTTTTGTCACTCTGAAAAAGTCTGAAAGAGAGAGATTTTTTTTTTAGAATTGCAATATAAAAATATCACATAGTGCCTATAACTAATATTTTTGAACAAAGTCCTAATCACATTAGTCTGGCCATAACGGAGTGATCCTGAGAATTAAATGTGACAACTATATCTATTGTCTTACCTGTGATGCTTGCTTGTCTGCGTTTGACCCCTAGCAATGCAGCCATTCTCTTCTCTGGCTTGGTTCCCCTCAGAGTTCCTCTGGTCCTCAGCTCCAGATATTTCTCTGTGGCCATAGCTGGACAAGCTTCCACCGTTTGCTTTGCCATACCGGGCCTGAACACACAGCTATGGTAGAACACTGGCACATCCTGGCACCGCAGCTCCTCCCACTCAATGCAACCGGGGGCTGGTTGGTCCATCTGAAAGTCAAAGTTCCAGCGCTGTTTGGCGATCTCCACGTTCATGCAGAATAGCCTCTGGAAGTCCTGCTGCAACTGCTGGTGGTCCACTGGGCCAAACAGGTTCCGCCGAACCACTGCTGCCTGAGGTTTAATGTCCTCCTCCTGCCCTTCCAGCAGCCCAAAATAACACGCAACTGGTGTCATGGACATGTTCCTGGGACAAAGAATAGAAATGCCCCAAAAGTATTGGTATTAGAGCACATTAGAGTACATTTTATTACTACAGTAGATAACAAAATCATGTCTTTTAATCAACTGGTATTTTGGTGATTTTTAGTAGATGTATGAAGCCAGTTCTCCTTAAGTTAACACAGTTGTCCAGGAAGATCAAGCACAAGTGCAGTGTATACATAAATAACATAATAACACATAATGCACAGACATTCAGACACTGTAAGTGTGACATATCTGTCCGGTTACTTTTTGGGGTCACTGTGTATATGAGTCAGGATAAACAAAAATTTGTAGAAATATACTCTCTGTGTTGATGAAAAAATGCCAAGTGCGTGATTTGTGAATGCAAAAAAGATGCACCATTCTGAATTGAACAGAGGATACTTTTTAAAATTTGAATTTAAGGTATTGTGTTGTTATTGCTAATTGAACCTAAACTTTAATTAAACCTTTAAATTAACATTTGGCTTAATTTATTATTTTTTTTCTAGCAGCAAACATCGTGATTTCATGAATTTATAAACATTTCTAAAAAATAAATAAATAAACAAATCAAGACAAAAGTTGCCTGACTTTGCTAGATGGGTTTGATATGGTGGAGACAGATATAAAACAATAAAAAACAAAAAATATTTTTTTTTTTTCCAAAAAATAAGATTTTGCCAAACTACTTAATTTCTCTTTTAAAGAATACTTTTACTAAGGCTTTTTTCCATCCATGTATGTAACGTTTCTTACTCCTCGAATACAAAGAGTGTAACATTTTTATTTATTTTCCCAAAACAAAAGTTGCATAACTTTATTTGATGACTTTGATTCGGTAAAATAAAATTAACTGCTTATAAAACTAAACAAACTGCTATTTATGTTCAAGAAATACTAAGATTATGCCACATTACCAACTCTTTTTAAAGAATCCTTTTATTGATGTCTCCCGTCATGATCAATATTTTTTTTGTTCGGTATACCCCAAAAATATCTTTTCAGAAATTAAATTAAAAGCTGTATGTATAAATTGTACTTTTAATGCATATTAACAAAAAAAAATATGTGTCCCTGGACCACAAAACTAGTCATAAGTAGCACAGGTATATTTGTAGCAATAGCCAACAATACATTGTATGGGTCAAAATGACAATTTTTTCTTTTATGCCAAAAAGGATAGTAAGTAAAGATCATGTTCCATGAAGATATTTTTTGTAAATTTCCTACTGTAAATATATCAAAATAACATTTTTGATTAGTAATATGCATTGCTAAGGACTTAATTTGGGCAACTTTAAAGGCGATTTTCTCAATATTTAGATTTTTTTTGCAACCTCAGATTCCAGATTTTTGATGTATGGTTTCCTATCAAACCATACATAAATGGAAAGCTTATTTATTCAGCTTCCAGATGATGTACAAATCTCAATTTAACAAAAATGACCTTATGACTGGTTTTGTGGTCCAGGGTCACATATGAGACATGAAAATTTTAATTTAAGTAATATTGCATTTTGTACGATCACACCATATCGTTACCATTGAAGAGAGAAATCTGTGAGTGACGGCGGTTTCCCACTGCAAGCGTGAGCGGCATGTGAGTGTAACTACATCGTCACTGCAGCTGCAGATTCGCCAGAGTATTCACACTGGAAGCGTTTGTACAGCGTCACAGCAGCGGCTCCAAAGCTACATATTTCTTTACAAAGACAACTATAAATTTGTTTTTAGAGGTTGGTCAGTTATTAACTTGAATGTCTTGAAAGTTTGTTAACACGGGGATTCGCGTAATTGTACTTTTAATGCATATTAACAAAAAAAAAAATGTGTCCCTGGACCACAAAACTAGTCATAAGTAGCACAGGTATATTTGTAGCAATAGCCAACAATACATTGTATGGGTCAAAATGACAATTTTTTCTTTTATGCCAAAAAGGATAGTAAGTAAAGATCATGTTCCATGAAGATATTTTTTGTAAATTTCCTACTGTAAATATATCAAAATAACATTTTTGATTAGTAATATGCATTGCTAAGGACTTAATTTGGGCAACTTTAAAGGCGATTTTCTCAATATTTAGATTTTTTTTGCAACCTCAGATTCCAGATTTTTGATGTATGGTTTCCTATCAAACCATACATAAATGGAAAGCTTATTTATTCAGCTTCCAGATGATGTACAAATCTCAATTTAACAAAAATGACCTTATGACTGGTTTTGTGGTCCAGGGTCACATATGAGACATGAAAATTTTAATTTAAGTAATATTGCATTTTGTACGATCACACCATATCGTTACCATTGAAGAGAGAAATCTGTGAGTGACGGCGGTTTCCCACTGCAAGCGTGAGCGGCATGTGAGTGTAACTACATCGTCACTGCAGCTGCAGATTCGCCAGAGTATTCACACTGGAAGCGTTTGTACAGCGTCACAGCAGCGGCTCCAAAGCTACATATTTCTTTACAAAGACAACTATAAATTTGTTTTTAGAGGTTGGTCAGTTATTAATTGAATGTCTTGAAAGTTTGTTAACACGGGGATTCGCGTGTAAATGGTAAACAACAAAAACAGCTCCTATCATGTCGTTTCAGTCATGCTCAAATATAGAAAGTGCTGTTTATACGTTTTTTTTTTTTTTAAATAATACATACTTTTACTCATAGGTGCTTACCCAGATATGCGCTATTAACCAAGTTATAGCTCAGTGTGTGTCCATAATCTCCATGTCCATTTCTTATAAAAGCTGTCAATATGCTTTATGTAAATTACTTGTGATTAAGCTCAGTTTTTGTAACTGATCGGGAGAAATGTGAATTATTCGTTGGATTTTAACTAATCATTAGGCTAAGAAAGAATGTCAAAATGTAGGTAGAGCTGAATAAAAAAAGTAGGCTATGCATTTCTAGCCAGTCAATTACTGCTGTCAATATGATTTAAATGATTGTTTTGTGTCTGTGTTCGTCTTGTGTCCTTTTTTGTAATTTGTGCATTGTTGTCCTTTTTGTAACTGAAGACCTGGAGCAATATAATTACTCATTCTATTTTAGCTAATTGTTAAGTGTGAATATTATGTTTAAGTCATTATTTGTTCATAGAGATTCATTTAAAAATTGAAAAGGTGTGTTTCTAACCAAGGTGAACACGCTAAGCATTCATTATATTTTTTATTAGGCCGGATGTTGAAGATGTCAGTTTGTTTCATGTGCATTTATTGTGTCTATAGCTCCGTTTCTGTAACTGTGGAACTGAAAATAAATAAAAGGCGTAAGTTTGTCACGTCAATCGTAAGTGAACACGTGTGCAATATTTACAGAATACAATATTTACAGAAGCATTCAATAATGAATGAATAATGAATTTCTTATGTATATACTCCATTGTAACTTAAGATCCTGAGCAAGATGAATTGTTTGTTGTGAGTTTGATCAAATGTTTTAAAGTCCCCATGAAATCAAAATTAAAGTTGTTTGGGTGTTAGTATCAATATGTTAGTCTTAAGGTTATCTATAAGGCCGTGTGCTCCAAAACAGTGACAAAATTTGCATTTAGAAGATATAAACATTCAAAGCTTGCAGTTCGTCACTTCCGCCAAAACGGCTCAACGATTTTTTTTTTGACGTCACATCGTACTTCAGCTTCTCCAATCAAACGCTCTCTAGAATCCGAAGCTCCCGCCCCCGCTGTACACTATAAAATAGACGCTGAAGCAGCGGCTGAAATCGATTCAAACAGTGTAAATATGCTTTGCATTGAGGAAAAAAATAAGTCTGGTTTCACGCTGTGTCACGCTAACCACCGCACGGCACACACACTCTGGTCCGGTCCAGAGACACGATAGCACGGAGCGGATCACATGCGCAAATCGGCGCAGACCACAAAATGTATCGGAGCTATTTGAATTTTATAGCAATATGGATGAGATTGTGGCTGGCATACCCTGTCAAATGCGGCTTTACGGAGCTCAACGGCTTTGAACGGCTCTAGCCCAAGCTGTGATATAAACGGATGCTATTGGCTATTTTAAAAAGGGGCGGGGCTGCTTAATTTGCCTCGCCCTGTCTTCTTGTTTCAGTTAAAATGACTCAACACTGAGTAATGCTGCGTGTTTCTATGCATTTCAGGGGACCTTTAAGTTATAATTTGCTTATGGCAATTAAAAGTTAAAATGGGTAAATCTTCTATACGTATTTTTGATTCTTCATTTTCTTTCCTGACATACTCCAGTTTGTGTTAAAACACACTAGACATGCTTATTCTGTGCATTTTTAGAACGTTTTGAGTGAAATCATGTTTATTTTGTCCATCAAAAGTGTGCTGTCACTTTAATTGAGCGTCAGCAGCGCAGCAAAAATAGACTCGGCCGAAACCCCCGCTTCCAGTGTTGCCAATTTAGCGACTTTGTCGCTAGATTTAGCGACTTTTCATACCCCCCTGGCGACTTTTTTTTCTTCAAAAAAAGCGACTAGCAACAAATCTAGCGACTTCTTGGACAAACCTTAGCGAGTCTCTTTTTTTTTTTTCAAATATTTGACTCACTGGTACTGCCGCACGAGCGCGATATCTTGCTTTCACAGCGCGCGCACACCTCTCTCTCTCTCTCTCTGTCCTGTTCAGCAAAACCCGTGTTAACAGATTCAACTTTAATTCAATAGTGTGCATCCTGATTTACATATGATAGTAAAAGATGGCTGTAAATATTGTTCTTTGAACAAGTAACATATTGAAGTTTACATATCAAACGGCATTCTAAATAAATTTATTTAAATTTCTGAATGTCAAACTTGGTCAAAACAAGTGCAGTATCTTCCTCTAGGGGGCGGTAAACTTTGTAATGCTTTGCAAGCTTTTTCTCAACTGTTCCATTTCAATAACTTTTGTTGTGCTATAGTTCTGTGAATAAAACCAAATCTAAAATCTAAAATCTAAATGTTCTTTTATGAACCAGTAATAAGACAAACCCCATAGATCTGAGATTGATTTTTTATACATTTCACAAGACACATTTAAGTATTATATGGAATAATTGTGCTTTTTGCTCTTGGTTTTGCACTTTGCAGACGGTCCCTATCCTGCACTTTTACGTTATAAGGTCTATCATTTACAATACCTTAAGGCAGATTAAAACAAATAAAACACATTGTGTGTTCTTTTCTACATTTGAAAAAAATTATAACAGTATGTTTCTTGTCATTGTGCTAAATCGTTAAAGAAGATTTCCGAAATGATTTACAAATGTCAAACGTTTATATCGGTTAGAAAACATGAGGAATGACTGACACCTCCTGTTCTGTTACTCACTGCCAATTACCTTTATAAAACAGAAGACAAGCATCTCAATTCAAATCATCTCTCTAATATTGACAGACAGACACAGACTAACAGTGAGATAGGCTAGCTAGCTAGCTTCTTGATAGCTAGATAGAACTAGTACTTTTGCAGTGAAGAGTATAGTCATGCAGAAATTGTCTAACGTTATGTCAAAAACAACCGACAAATATTAAACTCACCATTCGAGTGAAAGCAGAGCTCTAGATGAGGGAGATTAAATCCACTAACGTTACTAATGCACTTTCCAATCAATAACGAAACGACCTGAGCTGCAAACACAACAAGAGCAGCGAAGTAATAATAAACTCATATGCAGTAACGTTGTTTGTTTTGATGGCCCATAGTCACGTGACCCGCAAAGCACTACTGCACTCAATATTTAAATTGTAACATGTCAAATAACAATGATTTTTTTCATCTCACTACTGCTAAAAACGCAATACGCGTAAAATCAGCGTATCTTTTCCACGTCTTAACGCCGCAGCTACGTTTCTGTAGAAAGCATAGACATATGGTGGAAAGTAGTTCAAATCCCCCAGAACCCCCGCGCGTGACATACATTAGCTTTGCTCTTGTCACGATCAGCTCGGGCGCGCGCCCAAAGAACTCCAGTCACGTTGAAGTGCAACGTGACAGGGAGGAGCCACACGCTGCATTTGATTTTCTCCAGCGTACGATGTTGAAGGAATGATGGGAGAAATAAAGAATTGTAACGCTTTTGTTCAGGAAACATGCATACAAAGAAAACAAGAACAAGCGTGGTGCAATTTAAGTTGTAAACCTGTAAAGTTAATTTTATTAGATCACAAATCTGACAGATTTTCTATTATAGGTCGCTTATTGTTTTCTAGTATGGAAATCCGTTTCCGCCACTGAATAAAAAAATAAAAAAGGTAATTGCGATTATTTATCTAAATTCTGACTTTTTTCTCGACTTTTGCGTCATGTAAACTCGCAATTCTGACTCCCCCCCCCCCCCCCTCAGAATTGTGAGATATAAACTCGCAATTGCGAGTTATAAAGTCCAGTTCTGAGGAGAAAAAAAGACTGATGTTCTCAGAATTGCGAGTTTATAACTCATAATTCTGACCTTGCCCAATAACTTGCAACTGCGAGTTTATATCACGAAATTCTGAGAAAAAATCTGAACTTTCAGTTTATTTCTCACAATTGCAAAGTTTATATCTCACAATTCTGAGAAAAAAAGTCAGAACTTTAAGTTTGTATCAGGCAATTCTGTTGAAAAAACGAAATTGATGAATTGATGTTGAAAAAACATTTTTTCCAACAGTGGTTGATTTTTCCTACACACATTTATGTAGAGTGAATTCAGTTAAAGTGAGATTTTTTAATTAATTTTCTTTATCACCTTTGTTAACGTTAAGTTCCAACTATAATTTAATTTAAAGGGGTCCTATTATGCTCTTTTACAAAGTCTTGATTTTGTTTTGGGGGTGTACTAGAACATGCTCTCATGCTTGGTGGTTCGAAAAAGGCATTATTTTTCACATAATTTACATTATTAAAATACGTTTCTCCCCATCCTGGCACAAAATGCTCGATTAGTTCCGGCTTTGATGAAGGTCCGCCTTCTGAAAAACAAAATGTGTTGTGATTGGTTAACTGTCCCAGTGCGTTGTGAACAGCTTAGACTGTGTTTCAGTACTGCCACTGCTCCGTCTTTCAACAAAAGCCTTTTGGCGAATCCGGCAGGCACTGTACTCCCTCATGTTGTGGAAGCTGTCCTCAGTAAAATGCGCAGCACACAATAGCAAATTGGGGTTATAATGCTCAGGGACAGAGTTAAAAAATAAATTGCAAACACTGTTTCCTGACATCATCCGCTTTCAATAGCCCAAACAAAGACGTTTGGGCATGGAGGTGAAAAACAGCGTTTCACCACATCTTTAAAATTCAAATACATTATTTTCTATGAGTGTAGGCACACCGGCGGTGCCGTTCACTGTCTGTCCGCGGCGCCCAGCTACGTTGTGTTGTACTTGTAAGAATTGTTCTAGACATGCCGAAAATTTTAAGCTACAGCACAGCAGCTCTTCTTCTTCGTTTTCTCTGATGCACTAACTCTGCAGCAGCTAGGGATGGGCGTATCGATCCAAAGTATCGATATATCAATACTGACGCGAGTATCAAAACTATCGATACTCAAACTAAATTATCGATCCTAAGGTGTGTTTTATTTACCAGTGATTTTGTTAATTTAACAAAAAAAATTGTTTCGTACAATATGCATTGAATTAGACGAATAACCTTTGTTAGCGAGTAATTGTGTAGGATAGAACTATTTTCCTGCTCATCTGAACCAATCAATCACAGAGAGCGTTCACTCACTTCTGACAGTGCATTCAAACAGGGCTGCGTTTCCCAAAAGTATCATAAGAAAGCATTAAAGCTTTTGGGAACTGCAGCCCTGAACAATGCTTATCAGAGGACAGAAGAACAGAGTTATTTCACAATAAACAAACTGAAATTGTAGCCTACATAGTTTGTGCAATTACAGTTATTTAAATTGAACGTTGAAAGATAATATTGATCATGTTCTATTCTGTAATGTTAATAGAAATCATACACTGTCAGAATAAAAAGGTTGCATTTTATGCAATTTATATTTAATCCGGTCACTGGCAAAATTTTAAGCTACAGCACAGCAGTTTTACTAAAGTGACCATAGTTCAACTGTAGTATTTATAGATTTGAATCATGTGTAAACAAAAAACATATTTGAACCATGTGTAAACAAAAATATAACCTAATAAGTTACAATTAAGGCATATTGAATCATTTATCATTACGCATTTTACTCTTAGTAATTTAACAATTTAATACATTTCATAATTTAAAAGTTTAGTTCAGAAGTATCGAATCGGTATCGATATCGATGATACTGCCTTGAAAAATATCGGTATCGTATCGAAAACAAAATAAGTGGTATCGCCCATCCCTAGCAACAGCACTTCTTCTTCGTCGTCTCGTCTGATGCACTCACTCAACCAAACGTTCTAACCACAACCTCGCCCCTCCCCACCCCCCAACCATTCGAATTTCTGTAGGCGGGAATCATTTTTAATGATATTCTAATGGGCTGCTTTGTGATATCACAAAGCCCGGAAACCAACGCTGTAGTCCAAATGAGCCGTTCATTGTAGTTCTTGAAAAGGGATTTTTAAAAAACAAAATATCTCCCTTTGGAGTGGACTTTGAGATTTGTAACTTTCTAGATCTTTTTTATGCCCAGACATACACACTACACACTGACTAAAATTTAAAAAGTGAAAATAGGACCCCTTTAAATTTCCCAGTTCATATAATATGTTATTTGGAAGGTTATATATATATATATATATTCTAATAAACATTTTGAGATCATGCACTCCAGACAAACATCTTTTCAGGAAAAGTGGGTCATCTTTGATTTATCAAAAATTATCCTGTATCTGTATTAGAAAGCATAAAGACATTCATTCATCATCTATCTATCACACAAATATTTTCAGCAACATATTTAACAAAATATGTAGCCTAGGCTATGAGTAAAATTAGGTTCACCCAATCAATGCATACATTTTTTTTACTTGACATGTGTAAACCTGCATTCATGGAAGCCAACTGTGGCTGCGTTTACACTGGCACAAAAAATCAGATCTTTCGCTCACATCTGACACAGATCGGAATTTGTTGCACACGTGTAAACACAAAAACCGGCACGAGATCTGATTTTTTTGCATCAGATCTGAGCCACTTCCAAATGTGGATTTTAATCGGATACACGTCTGATATCTGGACATCCGACCTACGTCTAGACACACGTATCCGATTCTCCACAGAACTCCTAATGCGAGGGCGGCACGTTTGCTCATAAAGATTTTTAATGCCATTTTAATGCCGGCGTGCTGTATGCGCTCGCATTTTATTGACATTGAAACTTTTTATAGGTAAGAAATTGCACATTCAGGAGCTGGTTCCCTTTCATAGGAACTTCGAACTGCGTCCTCTAGGGGTCGCTATGGGGAATGCCTCATCGTGACCCGTGTCTGAAGCATACATTGAAAATGGGGAATGCCTCATCATGACCGTTGTTTAACATCTGATGACATACACGATCTATGCGTTATTTGTTCAGGCCTCCTTCGAGTTCGAGTTCGAGCTCTATTTGTTGATGCCTCCAAGGGGGCAATCAGCATGCACTGCGAGCGTTTTTTCCAAGGGAAAAGCTCCGCTCTCATTTGTCTCTCTTTTCGAAGGAAAGAGGGGCAGCCATCTGCTTCTTCGCGATTCAGGACCTGCCGCTGCTGAGGCACGGAAGGGAATGAGCTTGTGGGGATCGCAGGTGGATCTGGCCGATGAGTTTGAAGAGGGGTTTCCCTTTCGCGATCGTCGGCTGTGCACGAGAGTGAGCCGCTGGAGGATGATGTTATTTCATTAACATTGTCTGATTTAGGGGCCAGTGCTCTGCTGGGATCAGCCCAGCAAAAGCAGGAAATGTCTGAGGAGGGCAAAGAAGCTGAAGCTGAGGCTGAGCCTTCCCAATCCTCCTGCCCTGCGTATGATGAGCTTTTGGAAATTATGGATTGCGCCACGCGAGGCTTTACTTGTCGTGAAGCGGGTGAGAAAGTAACGTCGCAAAGTATCTCGATGAACATTATTTTTCTGGCCATAACCCTCCAGCTCAGGTGAGCCTTCCTTTCTTCCTGTTTTCCATATAAAGATTGAGAAGGAATGGAAGAGGCCGTTTTTTCCTCACGCATCCATCGATTCCAGCATACGAGTTATGCCAACATCAAGGCGATGCGCGAAAGCAGTTATGAGAAGATGCCCCTATAGAGAGACGCTGGCCAGCTATCTCTCTATGGGTGAGACGTCCTCTAAGACTCCCCTCCTTGACATCTCGCTTGGATGCCAGGGCATACGCAGCAGCAGCAGGTTCGGGCTGTCGCTTCATTGCACATGATGGTAATGCTCTAAACATATCAGGCTGACCTGCTGAAAGATCGGGATAGCGGCCTTCACGAGAGCTCTACCCCGGGCCCAGGAGTCTGGCCCTAACAGGTAAGTATTTTGGGGTATGTAGCCTAGGCCTTTGGCCGTAGGGAATAACGTCACTGACAGCCGTCTAACGTCCCAGGGGCAACTCCCATAGCAATATGGTAGAGTTGGTACTTAGTGCTCGCCATGGTTCTGGCATGCACTCCCCTCAGCATGGTGGCGTGGGTATACCATTCCCCATAGCGACCCCTAGAGGACGCAGTTCGAAGTTCCCATGAAAGGGAACGTCTCAGGTTACTTATGAAATCATGGTTCCCTGAGTAGGAAATGAGACACTACGTCCTCTAGGTTTCTTGCCATGCCGGCCAGCGAGTTGGTGTTTTTTCAATGTATGCTTCAGACACGGGTCATGACGAGGCATTCCCCATAGCGTCCCCTAGAGGACTTTATCATTAGATTGCATTAGGTGCAATCTAATGATAATCCTAAGCACTTTGTTAAACAATCATTTATTATCAATCATTAAAGATTTGGCTTGGAATGTAAAGCTTGATTTT